ATATAAACATCCTTGTTTCGGCTTCTTACAAACAATACATCTTTAGATGTAGCATCATTTATGAGACATTTGGAATAATCGAATTTAATATGATTCCGTTTGTCACATAATTGACTAATGCTAAGTAAATTATGTTTGAGGCTATCTACCAATAGGACATTTTCAATGATTTTTCCTTTAGCATTTTCTCCAAAGATGACATGGCCTGATACCTTCAAAAATAATTCAAGTTTTTTATTTTTGGTACCCATACAAGTTTGGGTCATTGGTAGTTAGTTTTAGTGGATTCTTGAGTCCACTTGTTTTCAAAGTATAGCTTTTTTTTGTTAGACAATTGTAGGCCACATGTCTATTTTTATTACAAAAGCTACAAGCAATTTTTGAGGGAATTGAATTTGAGGCTTTGATAAATAGATTCTTAAGAGATTTTTTTTTTTTAAATGGTTTATATCTGATGCCTCCTTTATCAAAAACACATTTTTGATTGACAAGCAATAAGTCAAAATTCTTTTTCACTTGAGTAAAATTATAAATGATTTTTGTTAGATCTCCGACATTTTCCTTCAAAGAAAAATTCTNGCTTTGACTAATAGATTTTTGAGAGATTTTAGTTTTAAAAATGGTTTATATCCAATACCTCATATATCAAAAACACATTTTTGATTACCGAACATTAAGTCGAAATTCTTTTTTCCCTTGAGTGAATTTATAAATGATTTTTATTAGATCTTTGACTTTTTCCTTAAAAGAACAATTTTCTTTGAGTAATAAATCATACTTTTCATTTTCCTTTTTAGTCTCCGTCTCAATTTTTAGTAATTTATGTTTCTTTTTAAGAATAGCTGACTAAGAGCTAACTTTTCAAATTCTTCTAAAATTTCATCATATGAGGAAGATAAATTGTCAAAGGAAAAATGTTCAATATCATCATCGTCGCTTTCATCCCATGTTGTTTGGAATGCCTTTTTCTTTTTATTTGGACACTCGTTTCTTTTATGGCCGGGTTTGTTAGAATCATAGCAAATGATTTTCTTATTTCTTTCTTCATTCTTGTCTTCCTTCTTTTAAAACTTTTGATTGTTTCGAAACCCGCTCCATTTCTTGACAAGGAGAACTAAATCATCGAGCTCTTCATCACTCATATTATTACTTTTTGTTCCTTTATCAATTGTCAATTTTAAGGCAATTTGGCGTTTAGGAACCTCCTTTGATTCTTCTTTACTCTTTCTTGTATTCTCCTTGATTTCGGCATTATTAAGCTCGTAGGTTATAAAGGTTCCATAGAGCTCTTCCAAAGGATATGTGTTCATATCCTTGATGTTCTCTATCAACATTCTTAAGGGGCTCAATTCCTTCGAGAGCGACCTAAACATTTTGCTCACAAGTTCACCGTTAGTAAATTTGCGATCTAATCCTTTTAGGCCATTTACAATATCAGTAAAACGAGTAATCATATCAACAATAGATTCATCTTGTTTCATAAAGAAATTTTCGAAATCTTTGACTAATATATTGATTTTTGTTTCTTTAACTTTACTAGTGCCGATATGAGTAACTTCTAATGCATGTCAAATATCATATGCGGATTCACAAGTGCTAATGCGATTAAATTCATTTTTATCTAATGCACAATAGAGTAAATTCTTAGCTTCGGCATTTAAGGATAATTTTCTTTTGTCATCTTCATCATACTCTTCTCTAGGTTTGGTGATAGTTTAATCGGGTTGACCATCTATCTTAATGGTCTTGGTAG